TAGACTTGACAGAATTAGAATAGAAACACCAAAAGTTACACAACAATAGAATAATTTTACACTGGATTCCCCCTGGAACAAAAATTAACACCTTTTAGACAGAATTGAGAAGGAGATTAACCCAACAACAGACACTGACCAAAAAAATCAGAAATGACAATTTTGGAAACCATGAAAGGGTATAAGAACTCAGCTAAGGCATGTAGGAAGCACATGGCAATAGAACAGTCCAACTAGAGTCTTGGACTTTAAGAGAGCTTGGGAGGGATTCCATGGATGAGAATCCTCAAGGGGAAACAACTCAAGAAGCTTGGGAAATTTTGAAAAGTGAGATAATAAAAATCCAATTTAGCACAATATCAACAAAGAAGAAAAATAACAGGTCTCACAAGAAACCAGCATGGCTGCATAAAGAATTCTCTAATAAATTGAAAGATAAGAGGGTTAGCAGAATATTAGCAAATAGTCTGAGCCTGCAAAGATGAGGTGAAGAAATATAAGGCTCAAAATGAACTAAGGCTTGTGACCACAGTCAAAAATAATAAAAAGCAAACAGTCCAACTTATCAAAAACAGTACCATAAAAAAAAGATTAGAAACACAAATTAAGATAGGCAAGAAAATGGTAAGTGAGCACTTATCCAGCCTAGAAGAGTTCAAATCACCAGGACCAGATGGATTACACCCAAAGTCCTCAAGGAACTGGTAGATGTGATCTCAGAACCACTGAACTATATTTTTCAAAGATCCTGGAGCACAGGGGAACTACCAGAGGACTGGAAAAGAGCTGATATAGTTTCCCTTTTCAAAAAAGGGAAAAAGAATAGATCCAGAAAACTACTAACCCATTATCCTGACCTCAATACCTGGGAAGATTCTGGAAAAGATAATCAAACAAGAATCAGCGAACACCTAGAGGCAAACAAAGTCGTTACCAAAAGCCAACATGGGTTTGTTAAAAACAGATCCTGCTAGACACATCTTACTGCATTCTTTGACCCAATTACAAAATTAGTGGACTAGAGGAATGCTGTGGATATAATTTTCTTGGATTTCAGTAAGGCATTTGATAAAGTTCGTATCTGGTTTCCTGCCTGAGCAGGGGGTTGGACTAGATGACCTCCAAGGTCCCTTCCAACTTTACTATATATTATTAAATGCAAGAGTGAAACCTTTCTAGCAGATGAACTTAAAACATTCCACCTGCTAACTTTGGGCTTTTGTTAAGAGTACAGAGAGAGAAAGGAAGAAGAAAAACAAACACAATTTTTTTTTCTTCACTCTGTTTGTTGGCCAGACAAACAGAGTGAGGTATTTCCTTTTTGTGGCTTATTTTAAGCAGAATTTCTAGCAGAATTTAAAATTCTTTTTTTTTCTTTGGATTTGAAACAGTTAACAGTCACATTTACCTCTCACACACAGACTTTGACAAACATATATACACAAAGACAAGAGAACAGAAGT